AACAGTCGATCGCTGGCGTCAAACGAGTGGGCGATCGACGTCTTCAGCAGATCGTTCATCAGCTGCTCATTGACTATGGGTTTCGGCAAATCCAACGCTTCCGACTCTGACTGTTAACAATGAAATGCAATATTAGTTTAGCCGTCAAATGGCAATAATGACGGCTCAAGACCTGTGAGTAGAAGCGCTTCTTGAGATCAACGCCGAGGGCTGTCTCAACCCATTGACTAAAAAGTGGTAAATTTTGACTCCCGATGCGATACCTTTCGCCCGTAAAACTGAACATATGATTCTTGTGGTCAAATTCAAACTTCGAGTCCTTATATCCCCATCCGTTCCACTTCAGCAGCGACTCACTGGCCATCCGAAGAGGCAATTCAATGGATCAATTGGGAATCAAATCAATGGATAAATAAGTGATAAAATACATACCGTTTCTTCGGTATACTAGAGGCGGGTGAGCTCTGGTCGGCGCCGTTTGCGGCCAAATGCCTGGCAATTGTGTTGATCCTGTCCTTCGCCGCTGACATTATGCTTGACTTAATGGGTTGGGAAGCGTTGTCTTCGGGCAGACAATCGATGGATAACAGGGAGAGAGTGTGAGGGAGTAGTAGTTGTGAACACAATGTGAGACTCAAATGCAATGACTGTAGAGATAAGGCTGTGATTGTTATTGACTACCAGTGCCTACACTACAGACCCATCACTACAATACTCACACATCAGTCTATTATTTGCCAATTCATTGATTACAACACTTATAATGAGATTATTATGTGATATAAAGTGTTATTAGAATTACAATCCAATCAAACCGTAAGCCATAGCTATAGGCTGTGAGTATAGACTGGAGATTACAATAGAGTTAACTAACAGTAAATTACAATTTATTGATGTTTTTTCAATGCATTTTGTGTTGTCATAGAAATCAATGCTATTTTTAATGTTTGCTTTTTAAAGGGCTTTCAAATCGCATAGACTTTTAAATCGTATGAAAACAATGTTTTGATTGTTTTGTGTTTTTAATTACTTTTAATTTTTATTACTATTTTACACGTGTTTTAAGTGAAGTAATTTGTGGCCAAATATTATATACAAATTATATTTGACATAAATTTCGCCACAAATAACAACAGTAACTTTCGTTTAATTTACGATAAAAATTTGTAGTCAAGTAAACTATGCTCTAAAACAAATGTCTTTCTTTTTTGTAAAATAAAAAATGGCAATTATGTAAACAAATAAACGATTGGTTTTAATAGCGATTAGTGTCCGAAAAATAGCCACAAAATCATGGCTTAAATAGCGATTAATAACAATAAAAACAACATTTGATTCAATGTATTGTTAGTGTCATTGAAATCATGTTTTAATCACACATTTGTTTGAATACAAAACGTATGGAAAAAGTGGCCAAAAAATGAGTTCAAATATTTTGACAATTATTTTATGCCATTATTTGGCGTCCATTTTGATGACCGGTGTGTCGGCCGCCGAAGACACTGTCCTCTGGGAAGACGAGTCCATCAATGTGTCCACAAAGTGTCTGCTCGCGGATCACCAATTGGTCCGCTGCCAAGACGTGGACACTGTGGACGAGATGGTGACAGCGTTGGAGTGGATCCGCTCCATCAACGGCACAATCGGTGGCCAAAACAATTCATCGTCGCTTACGCTACAAGACATTGAGATTTTGAACAGTAATTCTTCGGCAGTCATCGAATGGATCCAATCATTTGGCGACTCCAGAGACATACGTTGGCTGACCATTAGAAACACACTGTGGACTCGATCACTGCCCGACGGCCTGTTGAACACATGGGATCAGTTGCGGTATTTAAACCTCAGCGGTAATGGTCTTCGAGAGTTTGACGCGAAGGCCATACTATCGCCAAAGAGTCGACTCATTCTTCTAGACTTAAGCCATAATCGCTTACAATCAGTGGATCCGCCGCCGTATCCGTTGTCGATGCTATTGCTGTCCAATAATAGTCTGGAGACAATCAAAGAGTTTGTTGACCGCAGAATCGGATCGATATCGTTGGCGAACAACCCCTGGAACTGCAACAATGAGTTAGCTACCGAAAACCTCAAATGGCGGTCATTAGGAAACCAGTTTCACAACCTGTCCCTATTGTAGTGAACGTCTTGTGGTAGCCACCAGTTTCTATACTTTAAATCGGTTTCTAACAGGCAAAAGCTCTCCCCGGTGTGCGGCCAATGCGAGTGCACCGCTCGCAACAAAGACGCGATGTCTGTCAACTGTTCCGGCAAAGGGTTGACTGCAATGCCATCGAGTTTACCGCTGATGACAAAGATTATGCGTCTGGAGAACAACGACATTAAAAACATCTCGTTTTCGCCGATGGCTTTACATCAGTGGCGAAACGTGACATATCTTCTGCTGACCAACAATACCATCGAGTCGTTCGTCGGTCTCGAGAGGACGAATCTGCTGAAGAATTTAGTGGGGGAAGTATACTTGGTGTTAGCCAACGCACTCTAAGGCCAGATATATAACCTAGTCAACAGTGTGAACCTACTCGACATAAACAGCCTGTTGGGCACCGCAACGCTGACGGTATGCCAAGGCAAAGTAATGTGGCTCCAGAACCACTTCAAGAGTGTCAAAGACGTGTATAGCATGCGCTGCGCGGCCGCCGCCCCGACGGCCAACTCTGGGGTCAATGTGCGAAACGGTCACTATTCCGAGCACTTCGACAAACGCTTCGCCAATCAAGTGCTGCTACGGATCCCGAAGTCGGAGTTGTGTCCGCAATCGCGCGATCCCATCGACATGTTTGAGATTATCAATTGGCTGTTGGTGGCCATTATTCTTCTGGTGATCGTTAAACTGATTTACGACTACTTTTGGCAGAAAAGGACCGGAAAATTGCCAGAATTTTTCAAATTAAATATGAATTAAATGAATCGTGAAATTACCCCTCAAATCATATATACATTATATATTATATACAATAATTGCCTCACATTTTGTACAATTTGTTGTTAAGTTTTTGGACATATTTTAAACATCGTTTCGTTTGCCGTTTGAATGTTTGAAATAAGTTATTATTATTATTGTAATAAAGAGTTGATATAAAAATTGCTATTAAAATATACACAAATATTTGTGGTTATAATTCTTGTTTATCACTCGTTTTGGTGTCGCCATCGGTCGGGATCTCTTCGGTCAGACATCCGGAATCGCCTCTCTTGAGGGCTCTGTCGACACACAGATAGCTCTGGAGGGGTTGGTTCTGATGGTGGAAATACCAGTTCTCAATGTCTGACTCGTGTTTCTCCAGAAGATTCTCGCACTAATTGGTTCAGTAAAT